AGGGCTTAACAAGACCATTAACCAGCTATGGAAATCAAGATCCTTAGGCTCCAGTGCCTTGTCACAAGGCTAAGGCCCAAGCAGTTATAGGAAGTGCTGCTCTAGGAAGTGTCAGAAGCACAGACCTGAGGGTAAAGATACAGAGATTGGAGCTTCTGGTCCATTGTGAAATCTCAGGTCCCCTTAGGATTCCACGTAGTTATCCAAAATCGGCAGTAAACAGGCCACTCCACAAAGGAGTGAGCTCCTCCCAAAGAGAAAAGGACTATATTAGTGACATCTCTGCACTGGCTCTGGGCAGTAGCCCTGCCCACCTGTGCCTAAGCAGGTGCTTCTTTCTGCCCACTCTCTCCCTCCGCAGGGCAGCAGCCTCCTGCCTGCCCGTGACCTGTACCATGCCGGGGTTTCTCTGCACTGACCTCCCTCAGCGGAGGCAGCTCTCCTAAGGCCATCGGCCTGCCACCATGCAGGCCTCTCTCAGCAAACCTGTCCCTTTCGGACAGCTCTTCCTGCCTGCTTGTGTCTTGCAAGTGTCCTCTTTTCTGTCCCTTTTCCTAATAAACCTACACTTTAAATATAACTAACGTCTCTGGTGGAGAAACTTGCCTGGAAACTCACCATGTGCCTCTGAAAGGGGAGCTCTGGTGAAATCTTTCCCAGGGTGAACTGAACCCAAGGACCCCACACTCCAAACTCATCTCCAAAAACTACATCAAAAGCATGGGTGTTGCTGTTTGTAGCTGTGGACATGCTTCCTTGCCTGGAGAAATGTTTTTAATCACAAATATTGAACCTCAGGCCAGCTGGCTTTAAGTAAAACTGAACAAAGGGAGAGAAGTTCCCTGGAAGAGTCAGAGCCTCTCTGAGAAAGCAGGGGTGAGGGGCAGGGATTTTGGGGGTCCTGTGTTATTCTCATCTGACCCAAACCTCTTGAGGAGTAAGAAAGGAAGGGTATAGGGACCCCTAGCAGCAGATGGGGGGAAATGTAGAAAAGAATTTCAAAAGCAAACACTTTTCTCTGGCTGGCTGGCTGTCCAGGAAAGTGTGGAACCATTCAGAGAAGAGGCATAAGCAAGCCATCACGGGCTTACTGCTCATAATCCACACTGAAAGCCAAGCTGTGGAGTGGCCAAGAAGAGGACAAAAACCTCTTCCATGTTTGAATTGAATCATGCAGGAAACTGCGTCTGTAGAGCTTTCCATCAAGCCGAGGGGGAAATCTGGTGCTCAGAGGATGGAAGCCCTTTCTAGAACAGCAAACCACGTAAGTCAGCACATAGCCACCACTGCCAGCAATGAAGGGGACCCGAAGTGGGCCTCATTCTTACCCTTCTCCCCCTAAGACTAGCCAGGCCCAGGCCAGAGGCTCTGTCTTCCCAGAGGGGCCAGGAGGCAGTCCAAGGAGGGGAGGAGGGGAAGGGGGCCTGCTCCAGGAAGTCTCGGGCACCCGGGTCCCCAGTCTCAAAGGGAATGAACTGCTGCAATCAGGGAGCCGCCTCCCCCTCCAGCCAGCAGGAACCACCCCGCAAGGATGCTCCCCCCATGCCTGCACTGCCCCACCCCTTTTCCTTGGAATTTGCTCTTCCAGCTCATGTGCAAGTGTGTTACATTATGCTGGAAGGAAGCATTTGCTGAACCCAGTCTCCAGCCCACCCCCTGTCCATCCTTGGAAACCTCAGGGCCACCCTTCATGTCAACACATCACTTGCCTTTTTCCTTTTTCCTAAAGTACATTAAGTGTTCATGCCAAGAAAAATTTAGAAAAACA